AAAAATATCAAAAATTGAAAGAAATCGTAAAAAGACAACAGTTGTTGATTTATTTGATGATCTTGGACATGAAAGAACAAAAAGACAAAGTATATTAAGTAATATACCTGGACCAATAAGTAAACGTAAATATGTGCAATTAAGTAATTTAAAAAATAAATAATCTGATGTATAAACACGAACTTGTAATGAACAATTCGTTGTTGAATTCATATGTCTAGATTAAGTAAGTAATTAATGTTTATGCTATTTGTTTATAAGATGACACTTTTCATAGTAAAAAGATCAAAATGATAATAATAATTGTAAAAGAAGTTTTTCTTCATCTATGACAAACATTTTTTTTTTCCATAAAACTGATTATATAAAGTGCTGTTGTATGTTTATATTTAACAAAACTATGTTGAACATATAGAAGTAAAACGTAACAATACTTCGGATAAATGATAAATAGATTGAGCTTTGTTCTGGTCAATGAAACTAATATTCTATAAATAAGAAAAAAGATTAAAATCAGATGGTTTCTTGGTGTTTTTTTTTTTTTCTTGAGGCTGCTCTGTTCGATGAAAAAAAGAATGTAATTACACTATCATTACGGATGATAAGATTAATAAAATTTCTTTTTTTTTGGTAAACATCAAATAGTGGATGAAAACATCATTAGCCTAATATCATATAATATGATTAATCAATATAAAATTACAGACAATGCTATGCATATAAATACGTCGAGTTTTATATAAAGAAAGATATGGATTGGACTCTAAAGAAAATAACTTATAATTATCAATTTTATAAGCCATGCAAAAAAAAATCTTGTTAAGAGTTTAATTGTTCATAAGTAATTTAAAAGAAAAACTCATTCAGGTGATATAAATATTCTAATAATAGTAGTCACCAAAAATATCGCTACCAACTATAAGATACTTCAACTTGATTTTGTCACTCATAATATTTTTATTAAAAACAGAGTTCGAGTAAAGTTTGATCATAAGCATCAACTCGAAGTCAATCGACCTGAACGTATAGAATTTAAAATTAAATAAATGGGGAACTTCGGATTTTATCCGAAAGTTAAGTGTACTACAAAAAGTGAATCAGGCAGATTGAGTCATCGTAGAATGACTCGGCAGCTAAATTGTCATCAGACATCTTTTCTATAAACACGACTTTTATTTACTCTCGCACCTCGACAAAGATTTTGGGTAGAATAGAACTCACATTTTAACTGCTCGCCTTTAATTATTCTAAGAGAACCATTTTTTGTCATAAGTTTATTTAAATGGTTACTGATCAACTGATGCAGCTTTGGAACAAATGGAGTGCAGATTTAAGTTCTCTGACTCAGAGAAACTCGAAGTAGCATATCTCTCATACGATAAAACAACTCGAATTATGAGCTCATGAGGCTATTGACAACATTACATTAAAACTATCATTCAGTTCAAACATAATATCAGATTTAGAATCAGTGTTAAAAACTGAGTTGATTTATGTATTTTGTGAATAATTATGAAAAAAAAATTTCTTTTCGAAAAATCCCCGTACTCCCCCTCAGAGATGGTCTGGTAAAAAATCACCATTTTCTCGATAACTCAGCCATTTCTTGACGGATCCTTCTCATCTTCGAACTTGACCGAGATATTGTAAAGACTGAACTATATAGAAAGTTTCATCGCAATCTGACTCTCCTTTCGAAAGTTATCGTGTAAGCAGCCAATCGGAGGAACGGATACACTGGCTATTCTATACTGTACTCACTTTTTGAGTACACTAAACTATAATTCGGTTCAAAACTAATATCAGATTTAGAATCAGCGTTAAAAACTGAGTCGATTTATGTATTTTGTGAATATTTATGAAAAATTTTTTTTTCCAAAAAATCCCCGTACTCCCCCTCAGGGATGATCTGGTCAAAAATCACAATTTTTTTGATAACTCAGCCATTTCTTGACGGATCCTTCTCATCTTCGAACTCGACCGAGATACTATAAAGACTAAACTGTGTAGAAAATTTCATCGCGATCGGACTCTCCTTTCAAAAGTTATCGTGTTAACGGACTGACGGCCGGACACACTGACCGATTCTAGAGTGTACTCACTTTTTGAGTACACAAAAAGAAACACTTTTTTGGTTGTTTCATTATTTTCAAGCTCCAACATATATCGTGTTATCGACGTATTAAGTTCAACATATCTTCACTATGCCACAGATAGAAGACGAAAGTCTACAATGACTTTGAAGCATAGTAATGTTTCCATTATCTAGAACAATCGTTGCATGCGTAGACATACGCTTTTTCAATGGGTATAAATATGTCATTTTCTCGAAATATTTGATTAGAACCAACAAAACATTGGAGAAAATTTCGAGGCAAATAATTGGAATTACTAATTGCCCTTTGCCACACTTAATCAACTGTCAGACTAAGAATACCCAATGATAATTTCATAAATCAAGCAAACTATAATTGTTTGACATGAAACTTTTATCTACGAGAGAAACAGCAAGTGGCTCTCGAACTAGGGATCATATTCTATGGAGTTTGTTGCTAATGTCGAAATGTCTTCGAATGAATTTCGATCAAGTTCTGATTACTGTTTGCCATCAAAATTCACGCTTGCAAATAAATAAATATATAAACCTGAATCCTTTGATCTTATATATTGTCCACAAATAGAAAGTAATCAGAACTTGATCGAAATTCATTCGAAGACATTTCGACATTAGCAACAAA